TCGCCCGCAGATCGCGCTCCAGGAGGTGAGAGCGCTGCCCCAAAAACCAGGCTGCTGATTGAAACCCCTAAACTCCTAGGGTGGAAGGAAAGGGTTTACTTGTCTGTCTGTGTGTGTATCTATATGTCTGTGTGTGGTTTCCCTGCTCTTCACCCTTCCCGAAGTTCCCCCGAAGCCTTGGCTGTGGTGTTGAGGAGCAGCCGCCTGCCCTGGAATCACGTTTCCATGCTGCGCAGGCATTAAAGGCTTTCCTGACAGCCCGCTTCTCTCTGACAGGATTAAACGCAGATTTAAAGCGGCCGCGCTCCTCCCTCGCCTCAGAAAGGATCCCAGCTGGAGGACCCGGCTGCTATAACCCATCCCTCCTGCTTTGCTTCGGGATTTTACCTTTGGTCCTCTCTTTGTCCGGCCTTTCCACAGGGACGGTTCGGGGCTGGGAGCGGGACGGATGAGGGGAGGGTTCTGGAAGAGCGGCCGGAGCCGCTGGGGCTGCTGTGGCTGCACTGGTTGGACTGGGCAGGTGCAGCCAGGCAGGAGCTGAGCTCATCTTTGAATTCCTGAAATGCTCTCCAGATTAATTTCTCTCCCCAGCCTGGCTTTTGTTTACTTGGAGGAGGTGGATTGTGAAATAGAGCTGGCACACTTTTCCCCTTTTTTGTTTCCATCTGATGGGTAATTTGGAGCAGACTTGGATGGAAGCAGGCTTTTGTTGGGTGAAAACAGCCGTGTCCCTTCAGTGTCAGCCTCTTTGAGGAGATCCAAGTCCTTCAGGTTTATTATTATTATTTCTGCTTCCTGTGTGCCCCCAAAGCACACGAGGAGTGTCTGGGCAGGTGCTGGACAGAGCTGTGGGTTGTGTTTGGGTATTTCAGCAATAAGCAAGAGCCACGGCTGCCCCAGCACAGTCTGGAATTTGCCCCACTCCGGGATGCCCCGCAGTGCCCCACGAAGCTGCCAGCAGCAGCAGAGCTGGTTGTTGGCAGGGCAGGGAGGTGCAAACAGCAGAAATTCCCATTTCCAGGCTGAAGGTCTTGGCTGAAGCCGTTACTGGGTGACAGCACCGACCTGGGGTAATCCCCGGGGTTATCACCGGGGAGGCAAAGCTCTGCTTTCATTCCAAATTGCAACATCTTCCACCTAGAACACAGCTCCCTTCTCAGGGGGGTGTGAGGCAAGCCTCCAGTGAGATCTGCTGGGGAAGGCACTCGTGTTTTGGGGCTGGAAGCAGGGAGGTGTGCCCAGTGATGCCAAAACCTCCTGTGGGTCAGTGCCTGCACAGCTGAGCTGGGTCTGAGCTCTCCTGGTGCAGAGTTTGCCCACCGTGTCCTGGGAGGTTGTTGCTCCAGGGGCAGGAGCTCGGGGACAGATTTTCCCTCAGGCTCCTGCTGATGATCCGTGGAGCTGCTGTCTCTGTGTGTGCACACCGAGCCCTGGGGCCTGCTGTCCCCCTGGGGTGACAACCAGAGCAGAGCCCTGCTGCTGCTGCTCCACGTTGGGTTAAGAGCTAATGAGACACGTCCCCAGGGAGGAGGAGCAGTGACAAACACCTGAGTGTGGTGGCACAGGCGACATGGAACTGTGGAGTGTTGGGGGGTTGGAAAGGACCTTAAAGCCCATCCAGTGCCGCGGGCAGGGACACTTTCCACTGTCCCAGGGTGCTCCAAGCCCTGTCCAGCCTGGCCTTGGGATGGGGGTGCAGAGCAAGGCAGCCCAGCTGGAGCTCTTTCTCTCAGAGTGTGGTTTTCCCCCAGCTCCTTGAAATGTGGCCCTGCCTCAGTGTTTTCTCTCCAGAGCTGCCCCAGTGGTCAGGAGGTGAGGTGCAGAAAGATGTGAAGCTCCTGGCACAGGGAATGGGAGCAGGAGGATTTCTCTGTGGTGGCAGGACCCAGGGACAGCAGGGAGCTGTGTCAGGGGTGGACGTTAGGAAAAGCTGCTTTTCTCCAGAGAATGGACTGAACAGGCTGCCCAGGAGATGGGGTGGGATTCTTGGGGTGTCCCTTGGGGTTCCAGAGTCCTGACACTGCCATTCCATGACTCACCCTCAGCGGGACTATGGGAATAGGATTATCCCAATGACAGGGAGAAATGATGAGGAGGATTTTATTTTATCAGAAGGCTAATTAATTACCTTATTACACTATATTATTTTACTTTATTATATTTTTATTTATTATTATTACTTCATACTATATTATTATAATATATTACACTATGTTACATTACATCTGAATCTGCTGGGTGCTGAGCTGCTCCTCACTTGCACAGCATCTCGTGGCTGTTAGCTGACAGTCTCCACACACATACACACAGACACAGACTTGGCCCTGACAGGCCAAGGAAATTGTCTCAGTTTGGAAAGACAGGTGTCTGCTAAGGAAGGCAGGAGCCTCCCCTG